GTGCATGTTTTGTGTAAATAAGAGGAATCAGAATTTTTTATCAGAACCTGCCCTACGGTTTCATTTTTTTATTGACTTTTAACCTTACCCAACTTGACAATGAAACACCAAACACCTAGGCTACTGAAATGCTTGTTCAGCATCAAAAAAACAAGACAATGCTTTGGGAAATAGATTCCTCTGAAACCCTGGTAATGCAAAATATTCTAAAATGTGTATGTCATATCCGATTAGGTCACAGCTTGTGGAATCGTATTCACATGAAGAGCTTGGAAACACCCAGTGTCACCTGGACACATTATAGCAGGCCGTCTCAGGCACCTATCAAAAATTAATTAGCAATCGACTAGATAGCTAAACCCCACTTGCTCACAACACTAACAGTTCCACTTTTGTATACAAAACAAAGTTGCATTCGCCAGTACCCGTTTCTGCCCAGCCTATTCCTGTCCTTGGCTTTTCCTAGATTTTCTTATCCTTGTAAGCCTTGTTGCTGACTGTCCACATGGGGATAGTGGAAGTTCTGTGGATCCAGAGGTTCTCCAGCCCTAACTGAAAAACCTCGGCTTTCTCTGTTAGCCCTCGCCTGCAGAGCCCCTGCGTTCTCCATTAGCCCTCCCCTCCAGACCATCGGCTCCACCCCCTAGGCTTGGTTAATCTCCAAGGCCAGCCTTCTTTTCCATCTTTTACACTGAGTCACGCAAATTGATTCATTTATTCCACCATCCATTAGTTTTTCTACACAAAGCTGCAGCACGACAATTTATAATTACATTTCTAATTTCTACACAAATTGAGCGCTGTACCTTCCTACCCCAATAATTCTTGAAACAATCTAAAAGTGTTGAAAACCTTTTTTAGATCATGTTTGAAGATAATGAAATTAACAATCTAAAAGTGTGTATACACGTGGTCTAGGAAATCATTTTGTAGTATCAAATGTGTATAAAATGAACATTTTTAAGTCTCTAAGGTTTCTCCGCTCGTACCATCTCATAGTATTCAATACATTTAGCAAATCCTGATATTAAAGTCAAATGGTTGGTTGCTTTTTGTGTATTTGTGACTGACATTCCTAGGAATTCCATAACCAAAATTGCTGACATATATATTGTAAAAACAACATTTATGTGTATTACCCGGAGCAGAGCAGTGTTATACTAAGGACCAAATGCCTATTGTCTTTATTACAGTAAAAGCTTTGCCCCACAATTAACAATCTATGCTCTCACAAGGGGAAAATGAGTCATGTACAGTAGATAATGTCAGTAATGTCGATATCATGTCATGTTTGCTTGCCATTTAGAAACAACAAAATTTAATTAGATATGAAATGAAAAGGATGTTAATATTTTTTTGCAAATGGAAAAGCAGCGTGACGGGTTTACGTGGAACTGCACTATCATTGTTTATACCAATTGCTTTTTTGAGGAATTATGGATGGAAACTTGTTACTTAATAAAGCATAAAAAAACTGGCGAAATGTGAGCTGGAGCCCAGGAATGTTGGTCTTTCTTTAATCTGGCAGGAAGTTTTTTAACATTGTTATTCTCTCATTTTCAATATGGTTTTCTGAAATTCCTTTAACATTGTCCTTTCTTTGACCCTATTGCTTTCTATTCTCATTTGATGGTATGTGCTGCTTTTTTTAAATCAAAAAGGGGGTATTTTACAGGAACAGTGATCCAGTAACCAGGAATGATATATACATGTGATAAATAAAATCTGCACTTGCAGCTGGAGCAGTAAATTATTAATTGATTTTTTTTTAAATATGTAGTAATTTAGAATGCCAAGCAGTTCCCGTTATCCAAATCATGATGGCTGTAGACATGAATGAGATCATTGTTGGACAGGAACACTGTTTATAAATGGCTTCTGGAAGACCTAATTCGAAAAGACAATATTTCTGGAGAGAGCTCTGGGGCAAGTCATGATTTTTATTCTCCCTAATCACTGCTAATGTGTTACATTTCTTGGCTTCACAGTAGTGTAATAACACTCTTTGTAATATTGAAAATATGTTGTTCTCTTCTCTGTTCACTTTATCTTTTATTGTCTATAGGGGTTTAGAGTTAAGTCGTCAACTATAGAATATATTAACCTAGTAATGTTTTATTTTAATTGGCCCCAAAATCCCTTTTCTGGGAGAAAGACAGCTAAGGATGCATGATGAAACAACAATAAACTGCATAAAATTGTCATGTTTACTTCCTACTTTTTTCTGTCCAATTCACAGACATCTTTTGTTCTCTAAAAGGAACCTTACATCTACAGTATAACTGCCGAGCTTCAAGGGTTCTTAAAATAAGCTTGAGCTTGCTTTTACACTTAATTTTCATCTACAGCTTTAGAGATGAATAATACACAATCAAAGGACACCAAAGTAAAGAAATGTATATGGTTTCCTATCTTATTTGTTTGTTAGTATTAATTTACTGCCTATTTCTTCTTTTCCTTTTGTTTGTTTGTCTCTTCAGTTCTGTTTTTCAAGGATGGGCTCAAGTGAACCTGGCTAGTTAATTGATTTGGACAAGTCTTTTGCTTCTTTTTGTTTGTCTCCTTCTTCCTCCACAGAGAAATTCGACTCTTTATTTGCAGGGAGTGCTCAGAGCTATAGTGACAAGTTCATAAAACTATCGCACAGGCCAATCCCTTCCAAATACACATTACAGAAGGCTAACAAATACACAAACACGGCCATCTTCTTTCTGACTAGAAATTAAGCAAAGCTCCCTGATTCAAGAAGATCAAAGACAATCTCTCTTTATTTGACTTGGGATGTGAGCACGGATTTTGCCATGCATAATATAATAAATATTATAGAGCACATCCTTCACTTTACAGTGAATATTTTACTTTTTCCAGAACCTAGGGGTGCTGAAGAATTGAAGCTTAGGTCTGAGTTACCAATTTCTCCACCACAACTTTCCCAGCTGTTTCATTTGATGTGAGTTTTGTCAGTTATATTAATGTAATAGAATTTAGATTTGCCAATGTTATCCTTATAAGACCAGGTGCTCTCACATGAATATTAAACTTTTAGCTATGGTTTTCAAACACCACATTGTGTACATGTCTTGGTTACATGCTCTCCAGCCTTTAGTATGGCTTTTAATTAATATGACTTTTTACACTACTCTTTCCCCACTATGTTAAGGGAATGTATACAGATTTATATATTTATTCTATATAGCAAATGTAGAATAAGGCCCACATTATTGCTTTGTCAAGGCAATAAAGTGCATGAAATACCCAAGCATTTGAAAAACATGCTGCTCTTGAACCAAGTCTAGATTCTACCATATTTTACTTAAAATAATTTCCTAGGATTGTATCTAAATTCTTTAGATTATGGAGAAAAAAAGTATATAAGTATATACCAAGTATATAAGGACAATACAAACTCACTCTGGACCCAGATTTGGCTGGTGAGATAAGGAGAAATTGTATTGTTATATTTTATTAGAAAAGGTACAGTTTTCCATTGCTATCTGTTCTAAGAACTAAATAATCTGACATGAGACATGAGTGTCCTGAGTACTATGTTCCTTCATACAAATATCTCTTTATTGGAAAACCAAACATCTTTTGTAAGGATCAAGTCATAGGTTTATTCCATGCTGAAATGAGAAGAAGGGGAAAATGTTTTGGCTATGGAGCCTACTTTGGGTGTTACACCCAAAGAAGGCTCCACAGTCAACGTTTGTGTTTCCTTTCTACTCTTTTCAACATGGAATAAACCTATTACATGTACTCTATTTGTTCCTTTGCAGCCTATGCATGCTGACACAGCTTTCCACCTTAGCTATCTTTCTCAAGTGTCAGACCTAACACTATTTCTTCTCCGTGGAAGAGACACCTCGCATTCACATTCTACATTTATCAAGTGAGTGGATGCATGAAGTTCCCAATGCCTTCATGTAGGTTATAGTAACGTCTCTTGTTACTTCAATTCAAAGTCTTCCCTGAACTGCAGTGCTGTCGAATATTTTTAAAAAACATCGTTTCACAAAATTGCCATGTTGAAAACAACGCAGACTCACCAAAAAACAGGTAGTGTTTCTCATATACATGTATCAATATGACAAAAAAGAAATAAATTATGCATGTCACATTGCTAGAATAAAAGGAACTAATAAGCGGTAACACAAATTCAATTTTCATATCCTCACACTCATATAGGCTTCAAATACCCTTGCGTTAAAGTTCATAGCATGCCTTTTATCTTTGCTAACTTAGAAATGGCTGATGGGTCATCATGTCTTCTCCAGCCTGACATTTCCCAGGACAGTACTGTATATTGCAATACTATTAAAATTTCTTAGTAGGTGATTTGATTATGTTTTGCAATACATATGGAAAGAACTGAGCAGTGATGGCAGCCTGAGACCTACTGGCGTGGCTAGTGGAACAGGCCAGGGTGTTCTTAATGTCTGGCATATGCTTTGAGATTTCATTAATAAATAATTTAATTAAATGAGTCCCATCTGCTCTTCTACTACAAAAATGGGAAAGAGAAAGCAAGTGGGTTAAAGGTTATATACACACATGTGTTGAAAACTTTGCAACACTTATTTTACTCTGTAAGAGATTTACAATTCAAGGGTTTGACAGAAAGGGAGAGCACACAGAAAGTGCTTAATAAATGATGTATCATGCCTCTTTGATACAAAAGTATATTTGTGCTTCATAGTTTAATTGACTTTTTTAAATTAATTGGTATCACTGGAACACCACTAACACCCAGTCCAGTTTTAAAAAGATTTTTTTTAAATGTTGTTTTTTAAGGTATTTTTTTTTATGTGTCAACCATGTTATCAACTGGAAATGTTACACTTATAAAGGGAACAAGTTGCTCTTGTCTGCTACTTGTCAATGGCTGTCATGTTGTGCACTGGTTACACTCTGTAATGTGTTTAAATCTGATCTGAAAACTATAAAGGATTTTGAACCACTCTGTACTTTTATGGGCTATTTCCAAGCACAAATGGGACTGGTTTCATCATCCAATTCTGTTGTATTTCATGGATGATATTTGAGATTCATATATTGTCCTGGGGAAGACCAAAAAAAAAGTCATCAACATTCTCTTAAAATACGATGAGCAAAATACAGAATGAAAGCCTATATAGAATGTCCTAACTTTTGTTGTTGAAAAGTTTTGTTCTTTTTTTTTCGTGATGCAATTATTTTCAGTGGTCTGAACGAATGTGAACCTGCTGTATTTGTTAATTCACTTGTCGTAGTGATTTTTCTCAGCTGCTGCTGGCTGAATTCTGCTGAGTTTTGGCACAGATGTAATGTCATTACTGGTGTTTTTTTTCCAAGAGATTTTAAATTACAAATTCAATGAAGATGTTTCTCTTTATACGCAGGAGAATTTGTCAAGCTTTGTTCATGCTAAAATAAGAGTTTCTGGATTTTTTCAGTTTAGGGAAAGCTTGTAAAGCCTTTATACCTTTGAGTATTCCTTTCAGTTCAAAGATTCAGTTCAGATTATTGAATTTCCTTCCTGAAAAACAACAAAAATGTCCGGTACAGAAAAAAATAGAGAAGTTTCTAGTAATAATATGTAGAGATATAAATATTATAAGTATATAGAGTTATTTTCTTTGTTTTTAATACATGGCTAATAATGTCTTTTTCAAAACAGATGTCTTGCAATTGCTTACAGGTGGGTGATGTTTTATGCATTTCTTAACATTTGATCCATCAGATGGTGTTACCCTGAATATAACTATTGTTTTGTGAGTCGGTTGTTTAAATTGGATTTGTTTTGAAGGAGAATTCCGCTGTTTTTATTCATGTCAAGAATTGAATTTGTGACAGACTGGGTATGAAATACAGTTTGATATGTTGCAAACCCAATGTGACTCAATTTTCACCTGACACCTGTCTCCCAACATTTCTAATACTGTCCCATGCCAACTTCATTGTTTAAGCATGTCTTCATGTTAACAGATTAGACTTTGCTGGAAGTGAAGGCAATATATTAGTGTCCATTGAAGCAAAGGTGGAATAACTTGAATCAATTGACCTAATGTTTTAGAGGTCCTCTGTGTCAGTTGTATTGGTGAAAATAGATCTTTTTCTTTTGTAAAATAAACTCAGACCTCAAGTTCATAGTAGGGGCATTTTGGTTTTATTCAGTCCAATGCACGGTTTTATTTTTCAATGGCATTGTCATTGATTGTGGTTTGTCTAACCACAAGAAAATGGGTGACATTCTGGTTTAAAAAGCCATTGTTTTCAACAAAGTTTATACTGTACATCTTATAAAAAGCTATTTACTTCACAAGCACACTTAAACCATCTGTAATAGTTGAAATAATTTAGAGACCTAGGGAAACGGATAAATGGGAAATAAAAAATTCTGCAGAAGAATCTTGCTGTTACATACATTTTTAGATGTTAAATCGTTACAAGTGATCGCAGAGCCACAATGGATTAAAAAATAGGGCAGCTTCATTACAAGGATACAAGGAGGCTTTAGAGTGTGAATTCTGTCACATACAGGCCAGAAAAAATGTCTTTACAATTCACCAGATATGTCTGACTACCGTCAACAAAAAATATGCATTCTGCAATAAAAAAAAATCAATAGTGAATTGTAGCTTTCAGAGTAAAGCAGGATGTTAGTGCACTACTGTATCTTGTACTAGATCACAAAGGTTGGAGGGAGCTGTGTTTAGTATTTTATCTGTCACAGAGGACCATCCCAATTTTTGTAATACTGGGCTTGGTAACAGAAAGAAAACTTACGGGGATTATGTGTTCTTTTTGTAAATCAAGCCCTGCGGGTATTTCTTTCTCATCTGAAAGTATTCGAGTTAGGTGCCTCTGACCTGATCAGAATGTGGATATAGACCAAGCAGCCTTAAAGTGACAGCCTGTGCATTTATAAAGAACAGAAGGTGCAACATGTTTTAAAAAAGTTATAAAAATAAACCTTCTTCTCGAGAGTTTTTTTATATCATTTAAAAATGAATAATTCTTGGTACTGTATGACTTTTTTCTAACTTGTTTTCCAAAAATAAGTCAGTGGCTTTCACATTTCAATGTAAAGTATTTGTTCCTTTTTTATTTGTATGGAACACTTTAATCATTGGATTTCATATTCCTGTCCCATTTTTGCTGTGGTTGATGAAGTGTTCTAGGTGTTTATTTCTCATTTATTTTTAATGCTGTTTTTTTCTTTTTCTCCACAAAAGACTAAACAAGATTTGACAATATTATAGAAGAAAAGTCATTATGGAAATGAACTGTTTTTACAGCCCCCTTTCTGCTCATTACACAGGGACAGGTGGAATGAAAAGAAATGATCATTACACTTCAAAACATAAAACTTCATTTTCCCCTTCATAATTACAATTGCAAGTCATTAACATGCAGGTAAGAGCTAGACTTTCATTCTGTTTTGATTATGTAATTTCAAAAGCAGCCCTATACTGCTCCTAAGTTTTGATTTTAACCGAAGGCACTAGCCATGGGAAAATGAATTCAATGTCCTTTAATGAGAAGGGCGCATGTTCCATTTCAAGCAAAGAAACAAATGTGATAGATTGAAGTAGCCCATTTTCTCATTGTTTTCATAAAGGAATGGGCCATGTTTCAGACAATCATGCTTCTAGAATCTCTATAGCGGCATTCAATCCCTTTCAAGGACTCATGCTTGGAGAATTATCTCATGCAATGAAAAATCGTAATATTTTCTGTAAGAAATTACAACGTATGTTTACCTGTGATGTCAGTGATCCTCTGAGGTTTGCACACTCGACAGGAATCTTAAACACGCAATTGAAATGCATTCATCTATAGAAGCAAAGAAAACGAAACCAATGAGTGTATCTGACTAGATGCATGTGCAGAAAAGGATGTATGTGTCTCTGTTGAGACAATATCATAATAAATTTCACAGATTTTTTTAACCTTGCAATATGTCAAATATAGTTATGTTCATACTAGAAGAACAAGCTTAATACAAATAAATTGTTTTGTTGCTGTATACATTTTGTGTGCTGCTTAAATATGGTATTTATCTGGCTATCTCTACTGATTATGGAGAATAACTTCAATTACTCAGTACTAAAAATCCCTGCTACTGGTTATTGCTTTTCATCATGACAGGTTAGGTAATAACTTAAATGTGTTCTTTTAATTCAGATATCTACAGTACTAACCTATTCAGGATGAATACCCATAATTGTATCTAAACCAAGTAGAGAACAGTTGGCATTTTCAAGGAAACTGTCAGAAAGGTTAAAAGTTAAAGATGTCATCACTGTTGGCATCAAGGCTAAAAAGTCATCAGATTTTGCTCATCATTTGAGTGTTTCTGGCTACCCATGTGAATAACAATTACTGTTAACTGCATATTAAAATCAGAAATTAATTACTTAATAGCTGTTGAATTTCACCGACATTGTAATTACAGATTACAAGAGATTGATCAATGTCAGGGAATACATTTCAATTTAATATTTAAATTATTTGAGACATAACGTTTATGAAATGGAGTTAGACAAAATGGTGCATTTGTAATCCAATAAACAATTATCTTTAGCTATCCCAACTTAAAGGAAGAGCACTAATATAGCTTATTCACTAATTGCTCACTTACTGTAAGTTCCGCAGGGGGCTTGGAGATCAAAACAGGTTCTTGACTAAGAAACTGTTTATTTAAATGAGAGTATGGTGATCCAGTAAATGTAAGTATTTTCTAATCAATCTGATCTCTGACTTTGATGAAACCCTTTTCCCATTCTAGGATTCTCATCCTCTAGCATTGAATTAAATTGTCAAGTATATAACAACTAAATCTTAGAACACATCCTATGAACCTATACAATATTAAACATTTTGTACTTGAATTTTGTTTTTTAGACAATATCAATCAAAAACAATGAATTTGTGAATCCATTGAAAATGTATAAACTGGAGAGCAAGATATAAATATACATGCCAAGCTATAAGATTTTGTTTCGGTCACACTTGGCTCTACACACTCATACAAAGAATGTTAAGCAAAGCTTCGGTGCTGCTTTTAAAATGGCATCATCAGTGATAGAAGAGACCATCAAAAAGTCTTTCAAAAGGCAAATCAGACTGAAGTTATCTTTATATTGGGCATGGTAAAGATAATACAAGACTCTTCAGATAAAAGGGTTCTAACCCTTCAGTTCTGGATGCGTCTAAAATAAAGAGAATATTCAAAAACTTGTTTCAGCCTGCTTCAGCAATGTACAGTAGGTGGAGCTTTTGGGTGATGTGTATGTGCAGAATTGTTGCTATGTTTTAATTAACATAAGGATACATTTCACATTATTAATTATTTTTTATTAATTTATGTAGCAGGCCAGCAATAATGAGGATAATCCTTTCAGCCACTAGAGATCATTAAGGCCTCTGCTGTTCGTGTATAGATCCACATGTGGTGCATTAAAACATTAATTGATCAGTAAATCAATTAATTGATTGATTAATTCATTGGCAAAACTTGAAGACCCACATTTTCACATGGAGTTAATTTTTATTAGTTTATAAAAGGACTCACTGTGTGAGCTAGTTCCAGGTTAGTTTAGAGCAAGGTTTTGTATGTGCAGTACAGATGTTTTGGCAAAATAAATAGCTGCACAAGTATCTTGGCTGTCCATCATGATTTCTATGTGCTTAGGCCTCATGAGCCACCTGTGGAGAGGTTGGCTTGTCACTATTTACAGTCTTCCAAGTTTATTGCATGTTTTGTTAAATGTGTCTAAGTCATAAAACAATCAGGGGTTGTCGTTACTATTATATTTTCTTATTGTTCAGTTTAAAGACTCTGAACTAAGAATTGCGGATCATTATTCTTTATTTTTTCCTTACCATGTTAATATTTTGGAAAGGTTGAAAAAGGATTGTTATTACTCTGTACCATAAACAGAGCTCAATACACATTCTGTCCCTACTGGTCCCTGTTGTGAAGTAGGGTCTATGTCACTTTCCACATTGATCATGAAAATCACAAAACATAACTTTAGTCCTCACTGTCAAAACCACAGCAATCACCCTCACCAAGAATCAAAGCAGACACTGCAGATCACTTACTGCAAACAGCAGGCTATATTTCTTCAACTGGTAAATCACAGAGGACCATCTTAGACCATCTCAGCTTAAGCTGGGAGGTTTATAAAAACAGCAGTAAGCAATTATTTCTTTTGGAACTCAAATATCAAAGTGCATTGTAATGTTTCAAGATTGAGTCACTGGTTAGTGGTTATTGGTGGTAAAAAAAAAAGTTCTTATTTCCACATTCCAGTCTCTTCTGGTTTATTTCCAGATTTTTGGTATTTTTGTTATTGTCTTTAACCTAAATAGAAAGGCAATTACTTTATTTATGTGGCTATTCCCCTACAATGTTCTTACTTTGTGCAGAAAAAGAAACCATATAATTTTGTTTCTCCCAAGAGAAACATTAAGTAGGACTCAAAATACATGAACTATTTTTCCATATTTGAAGACTATACACATGGGATACAAGGTCATCAAGAGGGAAGGTGCTTCCTGATTTGGTTTGATTTGAACCTTTCTTAAAAGCCAAAGGATGTTTCAGGGCTTGAAGAACTTTACTAGCAGGTCTTATAGTGGGATGAGCATCTAGATGTCAGCCTTGAAATCAACATGATTCGGAAATTGGATCTTAGGTTTTGCAGCTAAAAGGATTTGGGCTTTAAATTCTGTTTGGCTTCTAACATTTACCAGGTCACCCTGGGAACAAGCCATTTCCTAGTGTAGTCCTGCATTCAGTTGTGCTCTTAAGACAGGCATTGGAAGACCTGCTGTATAACAAGAAAAGAAAGAGACCCAAGATTTTCCTCTCCTCTTCCCTGTCACAAGAAAAGAGACCCTTTTTAATTTTTAAATAAGATCACCAAAACACCAGGTAACAAAAAACGTCTGCTTCTGAAATTTTCTAAACATCTACAATAAGTGAAATTCACTGAAACTCGGGTCCAAAAGTTCCATAAAGAGCTCAAGTCTAAAGGAAAATAAAGCCAAAAAACATATGGCACACTTGTTTTCATCAGGTAGATTGTCCTTCATAGCTTGATAAGTTATGAAAGGATTGATATCAAATTGAATTAGTACCGCAGAGAAAATAAACATGTGAAGTATGTGGGTATAAAAATAAAACATGGATTTCTGACTTGCTTTTTTGTGGTATTATACTATACTTATACTTTTTCTGTTTATTAGCATACTGTATGAAGGACAGGATGGATCTAAAGTTATGTGATACGATTTTACCATAATTTTCAATAAAAAATTCCTTATACTTATATAGCGCTTTTCTGGACACGGGTAATGGGGATCTCCGCAACCACAATCAATGTGCAGCATCCACCTGGATGATGCGACGGCAGCCATAGTGCGCCAGAACACTCACCACACATCAGCTATCAGCGGGTAGGATAGCAGAGTGATGAAGCCATAGATTGAATTAATAGATTTTAGGAGGCCAGGGGGAAATTTGGCCAGGACGACAAGAGGAAATACCCCTATTCTTTTCAAGAAACACCCTGGGAATTTTAATGACCACAGAGAGTCAGGACCTTGATTTTACGTCTCATCAAAAAGACGGTGCCTTTTTACAGTATAGTGTCCAGTCACTATACTGGGGCATAAGGACCCACGCAGACCTCCTACTGACCCTACTAACACCTCTTCCAGCAGCAACTTTAGTTTTTCCCAGCCAGTGTCCCACCCAGGTACTGGTCAGGCTCAAATCTACTCAGTTCAGTGGGTTGCCAGTTGTGAGCTGCGGGTGATATGACTGCTGTTAGGAATAACAACACCCAAGGATTAAGTGTACTGAAAGGATTATGGTGTTTTAGTCAAAATTTGGCTTAAACCGCTTGGCTGAGGGCTGACCTCCTGGCCAGAGATAAGGAGGCTCAGATCCCCAAGAAGAGTGAGGAGTGACCAAGCGGCAGCTGCATAGGTGGAGATGGTGTGGAGGTGGGATGCAAAAAGACGGATGTGAGGGGAAAAAGTCGATCACGATCATTTCAGGAGAGGAAATGACATCGGGAGTGATTGCTAATTACTGACAGTCAAGTCTGATTGAACGTGGCTGTTGTCATCCCTCCTAGACTTTCATTATAAAGTCCAATAAAGTGCACAATTTTTCAGTGCGATTATTATGCAGTAATTTATTATTGCATATCTCTAATTATTAATAATGCGTATTAAAATATTTACAGTATTCATTTGATGATGCATTATTTGTGGAATATTCGTCCAAATCTGAGGCTCGAAGTGAATTTAAGGTACCATTGAAATTGATATACTGTAGACGTTTGGGTTTTTGAAACTTTCTATTTGGAAATATTTGCATATAACATTTTTTATTACCTCTGAAGTTTGTAAGTTTTATTTAAATTTAGGGTACTATACAGTTCCTAAAAAGAAACATTAACCAGAATTAGTTTTATTTGCAGTGAATGTAAATCACTTTCAGGAAGTATAGTGGTCTGGCAGTTAAAGCAACAGAAGCTGCATGCAAAGGCTCTTGCTACTGTAAGTGAACTAGTTTAGTCATTAGTGTGATATAACCCTCTTGTGATAATTTCCTTTGGATGATACAGTAAGTGAAAGCCCCAATAATATTGTTAAATGGCAGAGCTGTGTATACCTTAATCTCTCTGATGCACTTTGGGATTCCACTGAGAATGAAATGAGCTACTGTATGTTGAAGTAAGCAGTAATAGATTTTACTGTAATAAATTTAAGCTAAGTATGCATACAAATATTTTTTTCATATATTCTAAAA